TTTCAATCTGGCTTGACAGTTCTTATCTTGTTGGTAATCAGAAAATCGTATTTGCTATTTCAAACGCTAGTTCATCCGGTATTATTCAACTACCAGTTATGTTCATACGATCTTGTAACAGCCAAAATTCTACTACTAATTGCACATCTTATCTTCATGGCGTCGGATCAAATGGGATCCGACGCACTTCATATATTGGTATGGTCTTGATATTCATGTTTCTAGCCATCTTTGCGTATTGACTTGAACTCTCACTTCAAATATCTTTGCCTCAAACAATCACTTTTTTATTCTTTGAGGGTGATGCTGAGTTATTATAACGTGTCGTTATTGCGATTCATATCATCTCACAAGATGACAAAATGTTGTGTGATCTACGGGTGTAGGACTCGCTTTCCCCCCCTTGAAACTTATTTTGACAAGTCGTAAAATAAAGTTTTCTTTTCAAAACTCTACGTCGTGTGTCCAAAAACAGAAATTCGTTTATCCGTTCGTCTGTCGCGGATTAAAGATCAAGCAGACAAAAAAATTTACATTAAAAAAATACCACATATCCAACAAAAACTACTCCAGAGGAATCCTTAGGTGCTTAAGCCCTGTTCTATGGAAGCACCCTTCGATCATCAAATCGTTTAGTGTGAAGATAACTTGTGATCTTCGTATGCTGCACTATGACGGTAGCCATGGTTTCTTTTAGGCTATAGCGTGGAGATGACTCGGGTACTCCAGTTTTAAATTACGGTGACACTTTTGAGTTTTGCATGAAGTCTCTCTAGCTGCTGTGAAATTTTCCCGGAAGTAGCATTATAGCAATATATCGTTTAGGTTTCTAATACTCGGCTGCCCGAACATTTCTTTTGTTACTTATTGTAAAATCTTGAGATGACACCTAGAGTGCTCTGTAGCTTAGGACTTCTACATTTTTTAAAGTAAATATAACTTTTGAATAAAATCCGAAGTTTCCGCATTTAGTCCATATTAAAATGCATTTAATTAATCTTCTTGGATATGCATACAGTCGGTTATTGTACTTTCCTATGGTTTATCTGTTGAATTGAACGAACGTGTAGATGAGATCTAACTAGATAGTTATATCAATCAAATCCCGTAATTTCAGAGACTATAAGCAAGTTTCGTCTTTATAAATGAATCTTCAATTTCAACATATTTCTATTTTTTATATTCTGGACTTTAATAAAAACTAAATGGTGAGCCAAATTTTATACAGGATCAGTTATATATTTTTCTATCCTTTTTGTAGCTTGTCACGGACTTCGTCCATGATTCTTCTCCTCCTCTTCCACTTCACTCTCCTTCCTCTTTCTTTTCTTCTGCGCATATATATACTCATCGTTTTATTGAGTTGCCCAGGTCGGTCATTTCGATGAGTTCCTTGCCGTCGGAAAGCGAAGTTAACCGGTTGGAACCGATCGGGTCTCAATGACCTGAGTAAGTGTATTCATTTCGATCGTGCTCGTTCGTACAATAAGTACTTCCTATAGTCTTTCATACAAGTCTATAAATTCTATATGGGTTTTATTTCCCCAATCTTAGAGCAATACATGTATACAATCAGCATTTTCACAAATGAGAAACTTACTAAATGATTAAGAGAACACTGTAATAATTAAAGCTATATCCGATTAATTACAAATACATCCAAATATATTCTTAATATGTATTTCAACAAAGTAAACTCTTTATCAGATGATCAAGTATCCTGAAAATCTATCAAGCCGAATAGAATATATACGTTGAAAATAAAACAAGACTGCTTTTTAATGGCACTATACCAAAAAGCTTAAATACAATGTGAACATTCTTTGTTTATCCACCATAAAAAGATTTTAACATAGTATTATATCAAGAAGCCTGTAATTTCTGTTTTTTTTCCTACTTCCACGACAGCTAGTTCAAAGCCTTTTCTCTTTCGACGGCGGCGGCGAGAAATATTTGAAATTTGAGTTGTCATATATAAAATCATTAAAGCTGAAATAATATTACATTAAAATGATAGAGAAAAATGAAATATATTAAAAGCTATTCATGATGACCTATTTGACAAAAAAAGAGTTTTTTTT